TCATGATCCCAGGGTCCTGGGATCGAGTCCCACATGGGGCTCCCGGCTCAGTGGGGAGCCTGCTTCTCCCTCTGACCCTCTCCCCTCTCATGCTGTTTCTCTCCTGCTCACTCTCTAATAAATAAATAAATAAATAAATAATCTTAAAAAAAAAGAAAAATAAATAATACATATAAAGCACATGTTAAGTCGTCAACAAATGTTAATTACCTCCATGCTCCAATATCAGCCTTAAAATAATAAGGCAACTCTTTGGCACCAAACTCTTTGGCTCTATTAAGGAGATTTTTTACTTTACTCTTTAATCTTACTGGGCTAAGCAGTCTCAATGGATACCATTAAATATCATGTCTGACCAAAGTCATAAGCAGGACAGATAAAAGTAAAACGAAATAGAGGAAGAGGAGATGAAGAAAGGGAGTATAGATGGTCTAGACTACTTGAGTCGTAGTCACTTCTTTTGGGTTCTGTCAACTAGCCTTCACACAATCCAAAAATGGCCTGTATGAGCTAGACAGACCAAGATGTAGGTGCTTGGTGCATTTGTATCAGTTCTGAACAAACTCAAATATGGCTTTATTGTAGTTTTTTGATGGTTTCTAAGTAGTCTGCTCCATTCTCTGTTTTCTAGGTTGCTAGCATGAACAGGAGCCACACTGCATTTTATTAGCTTTGGTTATTATTAAGTTGCGTCTCTGGTCCTTCCCTCTGTCACTTTGACTGCAGCTGTGTCCTTCCAAAGTCCTTTAGGGCTCCTTTTGATCCTGTGTCCAGTGGCCATCCCTCCATTTCCGCGGCTACCGACCAGGTTCCTCCTCATCGTCCAGGGGTGTTGTGTATATTGCATTACAGAGTCTGATGATCATCATCACATGTGCCCTTTGGGAGTGCCAGGAATTTTCCCACACACCAGCAACCAGTCACTTTTCTTCTTGTCAGGAGAAGACATCCTTGGGGAATATTGCGAAAGGGAAGACTTTGGGGCTGGGTTTAGGCCAGTCTCCTAGTCCTGCCCTTCCCTTGGTTGATGCCCTGGGCAAGGTGTACACCTCTGGCCTGGACTGAGCGCTCATCTCAACTCTCGGCGCCATCGTCATGCTGAGTTGCCTCTTCCTCCTGAAGGCACTTCTTGCTCTTGGGTCCCTGACATCCTGGGTGGCTGCAGGAGAGCATGGTGAGCTATTATTTGGGATCCCAACAGAAAGTGACTAAGAAGTCATCCCCTACCTCTTCCTGGAGCGAGAGTCCTCATTTGTGGAGAATGGTCATCTCTGTAGGACAGGACTGGATGCATAGATTCTCAGGCCAGCCGGAGTAGGTCTTCCTGGCTTTCTTTTCCCTCTCTGGACAAGGAGGTAGGACTTCCAGTCTGGCTTATTAGAGGTTCTAGTGTTTCCCTAGAGCTCCTTAAATGTGAACAGGATCACCCCAACCTTTCCCTCTCTTTATCCGCAAAGTGGCTGGACATCTGGTAGTGGTGGGCGAGTTTCAGGGGTTGTGTGGGGGGAGGGGACAGTGGTTGCAGAGCTGTTTTGGATAGGAATGTTGGCAGAGGCTGAACATCCTTGAAGTGCGCTCAGCTTCCATTCCCCATTTCTTGAGGCTTAGCCAGTCACCCCAACCTCGTGGGATATCTTTTGCAGTGAAAGCAGGAGAATGCCCTCCTGATAAGAACCCGTGCAGAGAGCTGTGCCAGGGGGATGAGTCGTGTCCGGCCAGGCAGAAGTGCTGCAGCATCAGCTGCGGTCGGGTCTGCCGAGGAGACCTTCCAGAAGGTATGTTGGCTGGAGGGGCAAAATCCAGGTGTGCTCTCTGACCTTGCCTCTGGGCTAGAAAGACCCACAGAGCCTCCTCCCTCCTAGATGGGCTCTGGAAATCTAGCTTGCCTGCAGCACCTCTTCCCGCTTTGGGGGTTTCTTCTTTAATCACTCAGTGCCCAGTGCTTTGTCTTCTATCAGGAAAGAACACACAACTGATGATCTCTGCCTTTTATATGCACTCAGGGCTCATAGGCTGTATGGCCAAGTGAAGGCTGGAGGGCCAAGTTGTGAGGGGAAGCCTGTTAGAGGTAGTGATCCAAAGAGTAGACCCCTGGGCGCCTGGGGAGCTCAGTTGGTTAAGCGACTGCCTTCAGCTCAGGTCATGATCCTGGAGTCCCGGGATCGAGTCCCACATCGGGCTCCCTGCTCGGCAGGGAGTCTGCTTCTCCCTCTGCCCCTTCCCCCTCTCATGTGCTCTCTCTCATTCTCTCTCTCTGAAATAAATAAATAAAATCTTTAAAAAAAAAAAAAAAGAGTAGACCCCAAGCCAAGCAGACTTTTCACGCTGCAAATAAACCGTAAGCAGCTCTTTTTAAGGGTTAAGCTTTTAAGCCTCCATTTCCTCACCTGTTAAATGGAGATAATGGTTTGTACCTCTTGGGACTGTTGTGAGGATCAAATGAGAGGTTCCTGGCACAAGGTGAACTCAGTAAATGTGACAGTAAATGTGAGCTCTTATCATTGTTACTGTCTCTGCTTTAGCGCCAGGGTTGAGAGTCCTTTTTTTTTTTTTTCCTCTCAGGGTTGAGAGTCCTAAAGAAGCTCAGGGCTTCCTTCCTTTGATTTTCCCTTTTGCTACACCTGTGGGTGCCACCAGGCGGCACTACTATCTCTCTCTCTCTCTCTCTCTCTTTTTTTTTTTTTTTTATGGTTGTCTCCCTTTTTTGCTACAGGGAGGAAAGGAGATTGTCCCAGGGCTGTTCGGAAACAGTCCTGCTTCCAAAGGTGTATCACTGATGAGACTTGTCCAGGTACAAAGAAATGCTGCACGTTTGGCTGCAACAAGCTCTGTGTGGTCCCAGTCTCTAAACCAAAGCTGGGTAAGAAACACTGCCCTTGGGGGGCCCATGGGCTCTTGGGCCTGCCTGCTTCTTTCTCAGATAAGCCTGCGCCATCCTATTGTTGGCTTTTCTTTCCCTGGAACAACAAAAATTAAGTGCCTGTCAAATTCTGAGAACTTTTCTAAAAAAAAAAAAAGATAGAGAACGGGTACCCCAGCCAGGATGATCTGTGTGGCATGTGATCCAGGCAGGCAGAGGAGGCTGCCAGGAGTGAGATCGTGGCTTGCAGAATTTTCTGCTCTAGTGCTTGCCGCCTCCCCCGGTCCCTGAGAGGCCTTGCCAAAAAGTGTTAGAAAGTGATGATGTATCTCCCGTGGCTCACTCCTTCTCATTTCCCTCTTGTTTCCAGATTTTTATGGTTAATTTTGCTTGTTTGTGCTTGCAAATATATTTTATTATCATATTGTTTCTCACGACCCCACTCCCTGAAAATATGGAGGCTGCTTTTATTGGAGAGATGTTAGATGTATACATTAATTTCAGGGGGGCACCTGGGTGGCTCAGTCGGTTAAGTGTCCGCCTTCAGCTCAGGTCATGATCCCAGGGTCCTGGGATCGAACCCCGTGTCATCAGGCTCCCTGCTCAATGGGGAATCTGCTTCTCCCTCTCCCTCTGCCCCTTCCCCCACTCTTGGTCTCTTTCTCTCTCAAATTAATAAATAAAATCTTAAAAAAATTAATTTAGGGACAACTGACATTTTTATGTTGAATCTTTATGTCTTCCCATTGTCCAAGTGCATTTGGTTTATTTCAGGTGTTTTATAGTTTTAAAATACTTTTTTTTTTTTTTAAAGATTTTATTTATTTGACAGAGAGAGACACAGCGAGAGAAGGAACACAGGCAGGGGGAATGGGAGAGGGAGAAGCAGGCTTCCCACCAAGCAGGGAGCCCGATGCGGGGCTCGATCTCAGGACCCTGGAATCATGACCTGAGCTGAAGGCAGATGCTTAACGACTGAGCCACCCAGGCGCCCCTTTAAAATACTTCTTGATAAGTCAATGCCTCAGTTTTATTTTTTTCTTCACTGCGTTAAATGGGGTCTTACAGCACGCCTTCCATTATGTTTTCTAAAGAGACTGGGACCATCCTCTTGAGTGCATGTGGCAGCTATTCCCGTGGAAAAGCCTAGGTTTTGGTCATCAGAGAGCTGGGTTCAAGCCTGAGGCTCACCAGTTACTGGCCAGCAGGTCCCTGATCACGTGCCTTCTGCTTCCCTGAGCCACATTTCCCTCCTCTGTAAAATGGAAAGAGTAAGCCTTGGAAGTTGTTGTAGAGAGTCAAAGTATGTGAAGCATTTAGCCCTCAGTAGACATTAGCTTCCTTCCTATTGCCTGCTAAGGTAGGCTTCATGAGGAGTGCGGTTGCTAACCAGCCCCTTTGGTCAAGAACCAGGATTGCTTTCTCCTCCCCTGACCTCTTCCTCTCGGAGACCCTGGAACTCCACAGCGTGTGACCACCTCTTTCCTTCTGGCTGAACCTCCCCAGGTAGCGGGCCCCTCCCCTGAGCCCCGTGCGGCTGTCTGTGTCTGGTTTCAGCAGCTCTCTTGGGCGCCCTGCCCATAAGGGAGAATAGAAGGTTGTACTCCTTGCCAGGACTCCTGCGGCCCAGGTTTGGAACCAGAGCCTGGGAACCTGTGTCAGGCTGGTCACTCACCACCAGCCTGGAGGGCCCAGCACAGTCTTCCCGTGTGTGAAGCTGATGGCCGAATGACAGGGCCTGAGGGAGAGGCCGGCACGCAGGCCAGACCCTTGGTGAGTGACCCTGGGCCCTGGCCGGGCCAGATGGGGCTTCCTTGTCCCTTGGAGCCAGGCAGCCTGCCAGAGTGAGCTCCCTGCAGATCTCCCAGAGGGTACTTACTGGCTGAGTGGGGGTCCTAGTCTGGCGGGAGATGGTATTGTCTGTGGTGTTAGTAGGTAATGACTTTTCTGTGGCTCCGGTCCTGGGCTGGGCCGCTCAGTGAGACTGCTTGCTACACTCGCTGTCACAGGAAGCTGTGCGTCCTGGGCTCTGAACAGTCCCTGCTTTCCCTCAGCCCTGCCATTGCCAGAGGTTTACCAGAGCCAGTGCTGGTCTGTTTGGTAAGGTGGAGGGACAGTCAGGCCACCCGAGGGCTCAGGGCAGACATTGGGCCCTGCTCCCGTGAGACAGTTCTGGTCTGAGCATGGTGGGATCCTTGGCTTCTCTGCTTGCTGTGTGGCCTCTATGAACCTCACCTTTGTCTCTGTAAAGTGGAGATAAACATATTTACCTCAAAGAGTGATAATGACCTTTGGGCTGTTAGAACAGGATACCGTAGACTGGCTGGCTTATAAATAACAGAAGTTTATTTCTTACAATTCTGGAGGCTGAGAAGTCCAAGATTAAGGTGCCGGCATCTTCAGTGTCTGGTGAGAGCCAGCTTCCTGGTTCATAGGCTACCACGTCTTCACCGGGACCTCATACGGTGGAAGGGGGCAATGCGGGCTTCGTCCCCTTCATGGGGGCACCCCTCTCATGACCTGATCACCTCCCAAAGCCCCCATCTCCTAAGTCCATCACACTGGGGGAACACAAACATTCAGTCTGTATCATATACTTTGGAAGAAATGTATTTAAAAATCCTATAGAGGGGAGCGGGGTTGGGGATGGGTTAGCCCGGTGATGGGTATTAAGGAGGGCACGAACTGCATGGAGCACTGGGTGTTGTACGCAAACAATGGATCGTGGATCACTACGTCAAAAACTAATGATGCACTGTATGGTGATTAACATAACATAATAAAAATAAATAAATAAATAAGTAAATAAAAATAAAAGGCCTGTAGAAAACCTGCCAAGTAACGCTCAACAGCTCATGCTGTGATGCCCAGCACCTCTCTGTTCAGGTTCCCTCCCCGCCATCCCAAGTCTGACCTGTCTGTCCACTCCCTCACTTACCCACTCACTCACTCCGTATCGAGTGTCGGCCTGGCTGGTATCTGTACATCTCGTGGTGAGCGAGGCAGCCGTGCTTCTAACTACTGGGCACCGATTGTGATGAGGGCTGTGAAGGGGCATCAAAGCGAGCTATGGAGGAGGTGTCCTTTCAACCTGGAGGATGAGAGGGTGCTGGCCGTGGGATGCCGGGAAGGGGGAACTGCACGGGCCAAGGCTGGGAGTAGGCACGAGCTTACTGTTTCAAGGAAGTGAAAGGAGGTCAGTGGGGTTGGAGAAAAGAGAAGGAGAAGGAAGATGGCTCCAGTTAGGGAGAGTCCAGATTTCGGGTGAGTCTCCAGGGCCTCTGTCTAAGGCTTTGTTCTAAGAGTACTGGGAAGCCTTTGCAGGGCTTATAAAAGCGGGGAGGAGAGGCCCAGTCTGGTTTCCATTTTACTTTATTATTTAAAAAAAAATTTTTTTTTTAAAGATTTTATTTATTTTTTAGAGAGCGAGCGAGAGAGAAACAGCATGAGAGGGGAGAGGGTCAGAGGGAGAAGCAGGCTCCC